TCGTATGAGCTATGTGACCTTAAATTTTTTAGCTAAAAAAATTGTCAATACCTTTTGACAACCCTATATATGTACATGTACACGCTAAACGCAAATGCTAACTTTAAGCTTATTAAATTTCGGGTAGCAGAACGATTAGTTTTCATTAACGCTTTATATATATATATACATATATATATATATATATCAAGAACATAATGCCTTGTAAAGGAAATTTTGCTTTTTTTAGTCATTAGCTTTTGCGGCGATTGAAAGCTTTCTATTGATTCTATTGCTGAATAAGTTATTATTTCGACTCAATTATTCATTACTTTGAGCCGAGAATCTCTTCTTTACAAGGTCTTATTTTTGTTCCGCCGCTTCCTCTTAGGGACATATGGTAGTCTAAGTTTGAATCCGGTCGTGGACATACAGCTTATTTCGTACCGGGGAGCCTGATCGAAGGCCTTGTAGCGGTCCCAGATGTAAAATTCGAAACGTCCAGACGTTTTTATCCCTTGACTTGACTAACTATCACAAACAGGTTTGACAAATCATACCGGTAGATAGCCCATTGAATTTTTGGGGGTCTAATATAATCCATAAACCTGAGATTCTCGGGTCAACCAATCAATCAATATTTCTTATAAATGAATTAATCAATTATTACATATTTATACTATTGCTATTTATTATCTGTTCGATAAATGTGGACCATTTTTAATACAGTCACTTTTGAGGACAAACATCATGGGCAAAGCGATATGCATTTTTATTTAGATTTAAAAAATATACTTCTATCGAGAACTCTAAACTGCCTTTAGATCAGCAAAAACCAACCGAAACCTTGACTGCCCATTCAGTCTTCATGGCAGCTCAGAGGCAGCGGACGAGTAATTAATTATGTGTGCTCATAGGGAGGCTTTGTGAGACAATCTAGAGCTACTCAAATTCCATTGTGGGCGATGTACGTAATTTTGCATTCGAGTTTTTTTTTTTATCTTTACGAGGACTGTACTAACGTCTATCTCTGAGAACTGCTCCTACGTAGTGTCTACCTTTCGTGTCGATAGTGCATTAAACATACTGGTATCAATAAGGACGGCAGTGATACACAGCAGAAGGAAGTGATCATTTAGTAGGACGGTAAGGCCTAGCCAAAAGTTTGTGTTGCACAGGGAATGGCGGCTTTTAAAAGTGCGTCCAGCTTTGACCAATGTGTCCGTTCACGCGTCCTTGACCTATCGTCGCAATTGCAACACTAGATATCAGGACAAACGACATCCGTTCGGAATAGGAACATCGGATGATGTGCCCAGCTATTTCCTCTCTTTTTGGATTCCGATTACGCAATCGGACATAACTATAAGCTTTGCTCACCAGCAAACAATCCACAAATAAAACTGACCTGTTACGCCGTGCGACAATTCAATGTGTGCATGTGGCCATTGCTCGTGGAAGGAAAGGAAAAGTAACCCCGCTACGCATGGCAGACAACTTTCGCTCGGTAATCTACTGGCCTATCGGTGTTCAGGTTTCGTTACGCCATAAAATTTCCATAATGCAGGCGCTGTATCAGTTATCGTCGCAGCTAAATATGCTACAGACTTCTTCTTGCCGAAAGCCTGATAATGCTTTTCTGGACCACTCCGTAATTGCTATCGGCTGATACATAGCGTGTCATTCGTTTATGGCAAACGGTGTAACTCAAACGCTAAATGCTGTTTTGCCTCACAGGCTCAGCGACAGAAAGCCGCACAGCTACGGAGAGACCTGCGGTTAAATTGAAAAAACCGAGCCCGCCATTTTTCCATTTCCGTGGTTCCGATTGAGAACGTTGGTCAAACGCACTCGAAGACGGTGTTCTCTTGACATCCATATTGTAAATAAATCCAAATAAAAATGTTTTCGAAACTATTTAGCTGTGCTAGCTTGAAAGCTTTTACAAAAAAAAAATACCACTTAATCAAATAACCTACAGTTTGATATGTAAGTACCTGTACATTTCTACAGAGTATAGTTTCACGTACGTGTAACGTATGACACACACCTCTTCTGCCTCCCTTCGCGTATAGAATTCGCTTCAACCGTCGTTTTCGACCTTATAAATATACTTTTCGGCCGAGTACAACGACAATTTAACCCGCAACGCCTGCTGCCCGCGTGTTGCGGAGTTCCTATGGGAGAATACTCTCACATGTTTGTGCATTCATGGATATAGTAAACAACTGATGCGTCGTGGACCCAACAACTTCCAGCTTCCCATTAATCGAAAATTCACGACTAAAAGTCGTTCGCCGTAGCCAACGATAGTAGACTAAGAATATCTCTTCAGTGGGTCAATCACGGCCGCCCACATCCGGGACGACTCTCCAGTAATCAATTAGCCGAACCGAAAACGTTGGGCTTCTCAGAGTATTTTGCTATCCATAATACATCGATGAAGTTTGCACAACTATGAAGTCGCTGCTTTATAAATGTTTTTACAGGGTAAAGTGGTGAAAATCTGTGGTCTGGGCTCGTATTAATAGGACAGCACAAATGGGTATAGTAAAACTGACAAGTACGAATGAAGAATTATCAGTCAAAGTTAGGTTTTATACTCCTTGGCCGTCATTCTGCTCAACATCTTGTAGATGTGAGAAATAAATTTGCAAATCGTGACCAATGCTTGTGGTCAGGGGCTGCCCCTTAATATAGTGTCAATGAATCACTAATGCAGGATTAGAGTCATTATGATGCGAATGACAAACGCAAATTGCGCACCCCCCTTCACGTTACAATTGATTACTGTTCCAGGTGCCTACATCGAAGTAGCGAGTTTAGCGCGACGAAAAGGCGGGGGCCACGTCGTTGGGTTTGGGACTATGCCGTTTGGAGGTCCCATGGAGGATAGCCTGGGTCGTAACAACAAGAAGATGACGGGGAGACAGGAACTGGACGACCCGCGATTAAGCGGAGATCCGCAGAGCGCTAGTGCCTTAGACGACGACGAAGACGCTGCCCGCACAGGATATATTGTATCCTTTTTTAGAGTTTTCCCAGGTATGTGGCTGCTGCCTACTGGCAAGCAAGCAAGTACTATTAGTGTAACGTACGTACAATAGATGGTGGCAATGCTAAATAACCGAATGTTAAATTTGCTTCTGTGGCAGTACGGATCTCCCCGTTCCCCAGGTACCTCCGAGCTTGCGAGTCTGAATGTAGATGTTGAAACAAAAATCTTTCAAGTGGATTGACGATATTCAAATGACTGTTTTTTTTTTAAAAAAATGAGCAAGCAGGTCAAAAGAAAATAAGTTCAATGCTTCTCGCCAGAGCAATGTGCTGTTTATTTGGGAAAGACTTTGCGCTGGATAATGGTACTCGTTTTACCAATACGGTAGAATTAAGCAAAGCTGAATAAACGAGTGCGCCGAACGCTTTAATTAAACGTTTGATACTTTCACAAGAGCATATATGTACTCATTAAAACGTCTTCCGGACACCCTGAGCCTTGTTAATTCCTAAAGATGTTAACGAGGCTGAGGTCGGCTGAGACGAACCTTTCCCCGCAAGGATGAACTCTCTCATTGTGTTAACGACGGGTATTATTGTTATCTACATACGAGTAGAAAAATGATGTCGTTTGTTGACTTAGGTCGTTTTTTGCTGTTCTTAGGTGAGGATAGCGAACGGTTAGACCGCTCCTGGCCGCTCTGGACGGGCGCGCGACAGATCCACGGGCGATTACCCAAATGTGTGGGCCTTAATAGGATCTCATTTCACAAGAAAGTAGATCCTCATAGCTCAGGTAATTATTGACTAACGTCGATGTATAGTTAAGCCAATAAGACAGTGCGATTATGTATTATTCGCAGATGATTTATGCCAGAAAAAGGTACGAATCTAATGTTGTAAGCTTAGGGTGCCGTCTGCCACTGAGGACCATACAACAGTCCTTCTTCCGTTTCATTCCCGTATGCAAAGCATCTCCGCTGAAAAATGGTATCTTTGTTAACCTTAAGACTGTCATGCCCGGCAGAAGCAACAGTAGAAGTCTGGCCAGAAGTTCTCGGCTGCCGACATTGTCGCCAAACAACATATCTTCGGCGGCAGTCAAATAGCTCATGTAATGATTTAGGCTTCAGTACGTTTTGCTGGATCCGTCTATAACGTTTCCGGATATAGCTATTTCAGTTGTTCTCAGAGATTGGTTTGTGCTGTCACTAAATGCTACTAATAGCAAGGGTGCGATCGTTTTACTGCAGTATATTTAGCGACTGGTTTGGCTGAATAAAATTTAAATAGATTCACAGGGCAGCAATAACTTAGCGAGGAGCTAATGGCCAATGTCACGATGTCATAGGCCGCAGGAACTAGTTTAATTCTGATGCAAAAAAAAGCTCCTGATAATAGTATAAACTTGTATGACCTAAACGAGAATAAGTGATAATATTGTAGAACGGTTTTTGTTATATATTGAAGCTTTGGATGATTCTCTTTCGTTAAAATGCCTTACGTATTTATGAAGCACGTATACGCAGGTAGCATAGAGGTTGTTCATGCTTTGTAAAGATACGACAAAAAACCTTATTATTAACCTGCATTCATTTAGTTAGGACTGAGGCACTGTGTAGCAGCTCGTCTAATTTTTACTAAATTTCCTATTTTACAAAATAGATATAATGACAAATAAAAAAAAGTTCCTCAGACCCAAATGTAAAAACAACTGTATTCAGTAAATACCAAAAACAATTCATAGCAGGTCAGTTATAGACTGGAAACTTTCATGGGGGACCGTTGTAGCTATGTAGTTATTGTAAAGAACAATTTATTAAGCTGACTGTTTAATTTTTGGAAAAGTTTGCCGCTGCGAGATAGCTCAGAGACTTCATAGCATATAAGCATAATTTTAACATTCAGATCAATATGGTTGGTTTAGGCTATACAAGCCGTGAGCCATCAGTTAAAGGGCACGCTCGGATAACGTGATTCTGTAACTGACTAGTGGTAGTAGAGCAGTCGTTACCGCCAGTACGATAAAGAGCTTGTTATTCGGTGCGTTTTGTGAGGCAACGATGACGAAAACTTACGATCAACTTGCGCGCGCATTGTCTTCATGTAATCAAAAGACCCGTATGAGAACAACTGTCCTCGTTATCTTTTGCTCAGGCTACTAGGATTGGCCAAATGATCCTTCATCAGACTCGAATAGTCATCAATGTCTGGCACTATTAGAAAGCTTGCTATTTCTTAATGGCTTGTTCAAGCAAACGAGCAAGCCAAAACAGAGAGTACCAAGTATACGAAAAGGTTTCATCTATGATCTAAATAAAACAAATAACGGTCAACGTAAAGGACAGTCTCTTCTAACCAGCTAACTTTTCTACCATTTGATGTGTATGCTGTCTGCCGTGCAGGTATAACGTACGTATTGTTATGTGAATGTCCGCGCATTATGGATTATTTGACGGAAGCTTGCGTTCTCGTCGACCAATTGCGAGCTAGGTGTTGCGGGTACACCGCTCTCTATCGGGTTATCGACAGTTTCTGATCAACAACGATTCTGAAAACAGCCATAAACGCTTCTGAAACGATTCAGCGTCACTGCTACCTCGACGACGACACAATCCGTAATGACCGTCGCAACAGCGAAAGCTGATTCGATATCAGAGTCTGTCACGCTGCTCGCAGTAACAAAGATCAGCAGTGGATCAGACCAGCCGCTGCTCCTAACGTGATGCCCAACTCCATCTGGCAGAAACTCGTCACCCTCCTGTTATTAATCGTTTGCCATCGACCGAAGTTTCTGAATATAGCAAACAAACACTCTCAGAGGACTCGTGCATTAGCTCTACATTTCGAGCTCTTTTTCATACCCGATGAAAGAAAAAAAAAAATATATATATATATATATATATATATATATATATATGAGAAAAGAAGGAAAGGAGGGAGGCAAGATGGCCGGCGAGAGGTCCGTCCGTTACATGAGTACTGTGTCATCTTGTGTTATGCGCAATTCGGTCTGAATAAATAAGTACAATAATTGTTTTATCTCGTTGATATTGTACGGTTTCAAAATTGCTTGCGCATTGCACAAAGGTAGCCTAGCGATCAACGCTATTCCCGTTGTTAGTAGTACCGATTACCAGAATATTGACCGCAGCAAAATGGAGTGGCCACGGTGGTGACCGCTTTGATCTGTGATCTGTTTATTACTAGAACTTAAATGCAACTGTTATTGATTGTTATTCTTCTTCTTCTTGTTCTTCTTCTTCTTCTTCTTCCTCTTCTACTACTGCGATTGCTAAGCTAAATAGATGCGTGTACACGCTGTAACGTTGTACTGAACAATTTTTACTTAGCGGGTAGTCAGTCTATGCAGCGGACACTTAGTATAATGTCAGATTGGTGAGTGCGCCCTAATCCGTGCGCGCCACGATTTTGAAATAAAAATTACGATAGTCTGATTCGAAGAATGGAACAAGTATTTGTGCACGATGCGCACAACCACTAAAACTCACCGATACATGTATTTAACGGCGATGTATTTAGTTTCCTATAGAGCAGTCAGCGGGCGACCATGTAATGCCTGATACATTAATAGCTGGAAGGCGGAACGTTAAAATAATAATGCTGATAGCTCAAAGGCAATAATCTCGGTCTGATGTGTACAGACGATGATGACACTGAGCTAGTTGTCAATAGGGCTGACAAACTGTGATGTTGGTCATGGGATGACGATAGCCTTCAAATAACCTGGGAAAACGATGCGAATTAACTGAATTAGCATCGGAAAGGAAAAACGTTTACAAATAGATGCACGTTTATAATCTACGTACAGCCTCAAATATATACACGAGGAAAAATCCGAGTACATAGCTATACGTTTGCCGAACACATATACATACATTAATATTCATACAAGAAATTATGGAGATAAAGTGATACTGCTAATAATAGCGACACCGTAATTATTCAATTTACAATTTTAAAATAATTGTACATGTACACACTGGACCATTAAGGCTTACTCAAATCGATTCCATTCGAAAGGCATTTATAGCCAACAAAAAAAGTGTGCAAGAGAGGAAGAACTACAATGGGGAAAGATAAACAGGTCGGATGGGAGAGAACATGCCGTCCTTTTTGTAAAGGTCAACAAGCCAAGGAAAGGGATGATGCCTTCGTAGCAAATGAAAAAGATTAGCATCGTCAATTGTATGCAATGCAATGCGGTCATTGCGGCGATGATATAAAAATTTATGCACGGAAAGGGTGATGCTGATAACTGTGCATAATCAATATAACATATAGCAACGAACAGTTCGAGTCCCGTGCCTCCGTCAGGCATCTGCTTCAGGCGACCCAGAGTGTTTCCATGAGATCACGCATTCAGGCTTCCAGTCGATGTATATATATATATATATATATATATATATATACGGAAAGAGAAATCCAGGTGCATGTACTAGCCAGAATATACGGTATTGAATTGTGGCTACAAATAACTAACAAGGGTAAGTATTAAGTAACACTCGTGCGTCAGTCTGTGAAAAAAAAAGTATGTAAAATGTGTAGAATTTATACACGTCTATCCAATTACTCAAGGACACACCACTAACGTATTTGAGATCGGATCCATCAGTGGTTGAACCCTCGCCTAAGCAATCTCGCTGGAAATCGTTCGTGGAATTCCGTCTGGAATTGCATTTCTTCTGATTGTACGGCCGTGTGCAGACTCTACCCTGAATCTGTTAGAGACACAGAGGCTCTGTTACGTAACACTGACCGAAGCCGCAGGAAGAATATTGACCTAACAGACGAGGACTAGTATTTTGACGGCGACGCCAATGATCAAAGCATACTTCTGTGACGATGCTCTCCCAGTTAGGCCTAGCAGCAGTCTCCTAATAGTGACTCAACTTGACGCACCACATTATCCGTTCATGGTATAACGCACATCCTAGAGGTTGCGACATAATGACGCGATACAATCTCATTTAGTATTTTAGCACCTTGTCATCACGAGTGCCCTTCCTTTCACGATGACGCGTTGTTCTATTAGATTTTCAGAAGGCACTGAAAATTCCACTTCACCTAACATTGTGGAGACCCAAAGCTGTTCTATTACGAACGAAGAACACAAATTAGTTGAAAGATAGTGGCCCAACAATTTTAAGACCTTATTATAAACTATGTGCAATATGGTCTAGACTCTGTGTCTATAAACCCCAAATTACGCTTCAGATGCACTTTTCTTAAAATGATTCTACTAGAGCAGTTATTATTTATTATCATTAAGAAGGCAGAAGCACGAATCAGGCCCCCTCATCAATTATCAGGGCCCCTATCTACAAATCTTCGCACTGTAAATGCACTAATAGTTTTATTGAATAAACACTTTCGTGTACTAGATAAAGTGCAGTTTATCAAATTTTATTCTGCAATTGTCTTATAATGTACCGGAAGGCATTTTGGTCACAACAATATAAAAGGAATAAGAGAACCACGCACAGCGGCAAATCCCAAACATGACCATTTCATCTTAATAACCCCTAATAGAATGCTGTTGCCCCTTAAAACTGCGACTGAGACCAGAACATTTTGGGAATAAAGTTTAACTGAGTCCTATCATATTAGTACGATCGTTAATGAGTCATGCAGGTATCTAGATTTTAGTCATGTAGTCCATACGCGTAGATGTGCGTAAATTGACGTTACTGTCGGGTGTGCGCCATCTGGATCCATTAAATGATACGATTTCGTCTTGAAAATCCGCATCTACCATACCTACATTTGCTATCAACTAAGCCATACGAGCCAATGTAGTGCCGGTGACATTAAACTCATTGAAAAAATCGCTACCATCGCACAGTAAACCTGAGCGACTAAACAAAAATGACGTGATTACAAAGCAAAAAATAACAGAGCAGAAAATATCAACAATCTAACAGGAAAAACAGTTAAAATAGCAGACGACGCGGACATATTAACAGACAGGGTCTGAGTTTTAGTGAGATGGGTCCATAGGTCGTAGATCGTCGTCGCAGGCGCCCTGACAAAAGACACTCGTGTGTTCCGAGTTCGTCATCGTAACACATTTCGACAGTTTTTCCTCTATCGGCTATATAATAAACGAACAAAGAAGAACGGAAGATCTGTCCGTGCATCAGTCATTACGAAAGAAAGATCGGCAAAAAACAGATGTCGACATTCACCTATCTCGAATCCTTTTTTCTCAAATCACAGAAACAACCGCCCGAATACAATAACGTCACAGACCGCCATCAGCAGCTACGTCAACAACTGCAACAAAAAACAGAAATCCATTGACTGAGGTCACACAGGCAGGTAAACCTAGAGCTGAGCATGAACGAAGGCTGAACAGAGAATGAAGATTTAGAGCAAGAGAGAAAAGTGTAAAAATAAATAGAATAATAAAAAGCGTCTCCGTGATATAGCTGTATACATTAACAATTATATATATAGTATGGAACACGACGATTCTTATATGATTCGTGCACAGATGTGTCCAACGTGTGAGATAAACAGTAATAACAAGCATGTAGCCGTTCCCTGACCTATAATAGGGTGTGATAAACTAATTGACCTAGTACCAGCATAAACTAGGCAGACGTTCATTGATTGCGTATTTCTGCAGTGAAGCTCATCAGCGAGTGAGGAAGGGAGAGCATAGGTGCTATTCCTTGGTGCGGACAAGAACAATCAGGTGAATGTATACAGTGCGTAACAAATGTTGGCTGTGTTTAATAGCCCGTACTGAATTATATATATATATATATATATATATGCGTAAAAAACGAAATGGGAAGATAACTAATGGTATAGAGCTTGTTGTGCCTAAGGTCCAGCGACGAAAGCATGTTAGCTGTCGGCAAGGTGATAATAATAATATGTGAGACTCCATCAAAAGAATCAGGAGTCAGATAATAGGAAAGACAAGGAGATTATAGCCTGAGTCAAAGAAGAATTGATTCAACAAATTATCACTATGTGGCAAGAAGCTTGATAACTTAATGCCGCAGAATATCTTCAATGCGGATAAAATGATGGCATGTTAACTGAATACGGCTGGCGTTTTTTTCGTTTTTTTTTGCTGTAGCTATTGACGTAGCTGTTAATGGCGGTCTGTAACATTATTGTCTCTATGATTTGATATAAGGGACCTATATGGATTTTGAGTGACTGTAGTGAGAACTGCAGATGTATCTTTTGTTGATTATTGAGCATATTGCCTGTATGTTATGCACGCGGGAGCTCAAATGTGCATGGGTGATACTAACACGCCCAGAAGCTTCATGGTGTGTGCTTGATTAAATCGGGTCGAGACACAACAAAATATCGCCCACCGTTACTTGAGCCGCTATGGTAAAGAACAAAATTCTTGGGTAGAATTGCGTAGGTATCAAAAAGTTGAATGAGATAAGGCCCGTTTTCATTTTTTTTTTGCTGAAATTTTAGAACAGTGACAAACTCATAGGCCACTGAATTGAAGGTTGCCTTCAGCGAGGCCATATGCAGAAATTTTGGAATATGAATAGCGTAAGCATTACATATATTATGCAATTTCTGTACATGAATGTTCAAATAAACAGAGCGAAGATCGATCAAAAGACAAAAATGATCCTAAGAAGCTGTGACGAAAAAAAAAAAAATTGACGTTTTCAATAATTTTTACTATTGCATCTATAATGTTTGCTTATGGCCCAAAATGAAGATGTCTTGCTTTAAAAAGGACGCTGATGTTTGTTTTGGCTTCGTAACTGCTGTATTGTCCTACTAACTGTTCTAACGTTTTATGAGCCGTCGGCAAATAGAAACGTGGGTCTACTAGAGGTTCGGCGTTCACTTGTCATGCAGACGCCATATTGTGGTTGTATGTGAGCGAATTAGTACAGAATATTACGTGACAGGATCAATAATAATAATAATAATGTTAAAAGCCAGGACTGAGGCTGTATGATAGGTGTACAGAAAAGCTGAATTTTTCTAATCTAGTTAAATGTTTATTTTGATTTTGTTCAATTGTCATTATTTGTATTACATTGTATATTTTTATAGTGACATATGATAAAAGAAAGGTTTGATCGAATTCTAGAGTTAATCTGCCTAGTTCTTTTTTTATATCTGATAACTACAACAGTCTGTTAAGGTAAACTTCGGTCGATATCTCTAATCAAATCAACAACCGAGAGTTTGGTAACAATTTGCCTTTGATGCAGTATCTGTAGGGGACCACTATGAATAGCATGAACAAAGGTAAATGCACGCAAGAAAAAAGCAAAGAGATAAAGCGGATATCTCGTTATTTGCAACATACACACGAGTGCTGATATACTGAACATTATAGGTTAGCTAGCTAGTAGTAGAAACGATTAGAAGGAACCAGTTTACTGATGCAAGATATCGGTTAACGAAGTGTCGGTTTTAGAGACGAGGCGACGAAACAGGCTTGACAATAGAGATAAACATAGATCAAAATAGTAGAGCACACTATAACCTTATCGTACTTTTTGAGTTTTTGTTTCGGTCGTCACTGTTCGCGTATTACAAAGAAATCATTGTGGGCATTGAAAATCTCACGAACTTGAGGGCAAGCCAGTAATAGAACTTTTGCTCTATATTTTTTTCTACATATATACTTCAAACCAATTGTCGATTTGCTCTTCGTAGTGTTATTATACATAGCTTTTTTACAACCTTGGCTTTCCGACTTATGTGATTGAATTAAAATTGGTAAAGTCGAAATTATAAGCCGAAACTAGTAGTCTGTCTTTTTTTTTTTGTTTTGTTAATTTGAGATCGTTTTAAAGCCATCAGACGAGTCTTTCGATAATCATTTATTCAACCCAGCTGACATGCAGTCAGCGTTATTTCAACATTAAACATTTACTAGCTGATTTCAATATGCACTTGGATATATTTTAGCACGGGCCCTATGAAAACATACTTTAAGCACACGCAGAATTACTGCCTTTAATAATAACTCGGAAGCGATTCAGCTTTATTTTCTATGCCAAACAAGCCTCCGTTGGACATACTATAGGTTTTTTCAGGTGGTCTCTGGCATTTTTCTCGTATTTCCAGACGATCGGACCATAAAGTGACAACTGGTACTTCCTGTAGACAGACTTTGATGTCGCTGGTATGGCATCGAGTGCCGAAACAGAAGGAAAGGCAAGAAAAAACTTTTTAAAATAGAAAATATGTATGATTAAGAATAAGCAGACACGGGAATCGGGCAAATGTACAATTATCAACGCTTTTAATTAGCCCCAAGTGACATATCACAATTACTTTCTACGTAAACAAACGATACTAATTAAACTCTACCTTAAAATTATATCTATAAATGTTATAAACGCTTTGAGATATATACAGCTGCGAGCTAATTTTACACTGTGTCAAGGTGCGATTACACTGTTGTATAAGGCTAGCATTAGAATTTCTACCAAATCGTTTCTCAATTTTCAAGTAACAATTGCAGATTCAATATCTTCCGATGTACTTTTATTACTGTGTGTACCGAGGATCAAAGAGCATGAGCAAAACTAATAATTTACTAAATAGGCCTCTCGAGCGAATAGGCCAACAAACATCTATCCATATGTATGCCGACAGGATAATGAGCGTAATCGCGGCAGGTATGTCCTTGTATAATACTTAACTCAATCCGGTCTACGAATCTCGAGCAAATGTATGCCAATTAACTCTTAAAAGCAAGCGCATAATTATGAGCAGTATCTGTACGCTATGCCGTCAGCTTGTAAGCCATCTTTATCGAAAGGGATATTCGGACGAGTTTTTTTTACAAGTGCTAACAGAAACCTTCCTAGCAGACGTGCTGATCCCACGTGACTATCATCGGCGCTGCAGCTTCAGCTTGAACCCAAACCAGACCAGACCAGCTTGCGTTAATCAAACGATTCGTATCCATGTTTGTTCAGCTTGTTTTTACTAAGTACAGTGAGCGAACTTGACCAAAGCTTCCGCTTACTCACGCTCCGTAGGCTAGGCCTTACACTAATTTGTTCTCATAAAAGGGTGCGTCACTTTGGCCGACCAAACTTGCGGGCATCCAAATGGACTTCTTTGTATCCTTATCTGAAAAACTTATGGCGGCACGACGTCTCCTTTACCTTGGAACGTGGGCGCTGACTGGAAATCCGTGTCTATCTATCCACTGTGGGGACATCTTCTTCAACAATTGATTTTCTTATTAAGGCACCAAAGACGGCCGGCTAATCCATGCTTGAAAGGACTAAGAAGTAAATGGCGCCATAGGAGTTTGTGCGGTGGGAAGGCGTCTAACAATAGTCGGTCTTTATTGACATTTAGGAGGCAAAGTTTTGCGTTATTATAAGTTTGTGACTTTCATTGTAAAGAGAGCTGGCTTTTTTACAATAGCAAGAGGCCTATTAGACGCAGGGCCGCTACTCCGCTTGTCGCAGCTTGTACCTGTTCGTTTGATGCGCGTGACATTAGAAACACGCCCGCATTTTCTAAGATAAAGACCACGAATTCATAGGAGCGCAGGCAGGAGGTTTGTTTTTAGAATATAAAAAAAAAGATCACCTATTGTTCCCGTGCTTTCGGCCCAAACAGGCCCTCACTGAGACTAAAAGCATGTAAAACCGATACAGAGGTCTTAACTGTAATTATACAATACAAGACAGATAGCCAGAAATGCAGATTTAGAGCTTTTCACTTTAATCGGACAGCTTGTGTTTATCTAGGTCTTTTTTTCTTCAGCGTATCCCTTAATGTTGTGCTCTTGCGCTTTTGCTTCAAGTTTAACATCTAAGGCCTTTAGACGTTTTTATCTCTTGAGCAATTCTCGAACGGTAACTATCGGAAATTAGCAGCACAAGGAGCTGCGGTGAAGAATAATAGCGTTGAATGTATATGTCCCTCAGGGACATACATATGCTAACAAAGTATCGAAAAGCTCGATACGAACTGCACGTGTTTCAGTAATTCAGATTCCAGTTATTCCTATCGAGGGTATCTCTCGCGGCTTCAATATACGTGTACCACTGTATCTTTCAGTGTTGAAAACAACTTAATTTTCACTTGCGTGATTGTTTCAATTTATCCAAAATGCTTCCTAACGTTTGGAAAATGCAAGGTGAAGGCCCGTTATTAGAGTACATTGCATGAGGCAATTGTTGTCGGGCCTGCATTTGCTCAGAAGTCAAGCTCCTAGACATTCGTAGTTATGGCCAAACGATGTTTCAGGATAGTCCAACATAGCTCTTGTGGAATTTTTAACCCTCTTGCGGGCGCTTTGATGGTAATCCGCCAGGCACAAGCTGTTACTTCACTGTCCTGTTTTGGAAAATTTACACACGACCAAAATTCCTTCACTTTAAGACGCTTGCAAAATGCGACAAGCGGCATACGCTGGACTGTTCCGTTTTAAACATCATGAGTCGGGCTTTGAGCAAAAAATCTCCGACACTGCATCAATATTTATATACACGACCACTTTCGATGATCAGAATTATTAACAGATACAGAAACAGGTAATGATATACGATTCGTGTAACATCATGTGAGAAATGACTCATAACTGTTTCAACGAGGCAACACCATCACCGAATATGTTAATGTATTATTCTGCTAACGGACATGAACTTGCTGCTGCTGTTTAAGTTAGAAGCAATTCACAAACTTACTCGGTCGATATTGGGAACTCATTTCATAATAGTTTATTAGTTCAGGAAAGAGAAACAGATGACCTTGAACAAGTATGCAGTGACCTATGTACATTTTTCAGAGGAAATTTCAATGAAGTTGTCAGCGTATGCATTGATGTTGAACTTGTGTCTTGGCATGATTTACTGATCGATTGTCACCACTGCAACTATAACAATGATTATAATTAGTACTAATGTATATTGGTGAAAATAATGATATTTAATTAGATTAAACGCTCTTACCGCTGAGCTGAACAACACAGATGACAATGATGGGACGAGGGAAGAACTAATACAATGTTCCAAAGGTCACCTGCTGCCGCCGCCGTCATTATGTTGTATCAATTGTGTTGCCTCGTAGGCGGCGTTGGGCTTGCGACTTTCCTAAAGCCACCTCTATGTCCTTCTTTTTTTTGACCAGTCGATTGAAGACACAATGTCATTTAGCTTTAGAATGGCTCGAGTTTATTGGGTCTACTCCGTCATTGTTCCTATAGTAATGCTAACGCTAGTCAGATACGATTTCTTCTTTTGGAACCGCCGCAGCGATCGAGCCTCGAAAAATCGATGGACTAGTTACTGCGAAGGCTCAACTCGAATCGGATCGCTTGATCGACCGGTGCTGGCAGTACTTCACGCTAGCGACCGATAGATTAGATAGACTTAAGTGATCAGTGTACGGTAACAACGGTAAAATGTTGCAGGACGACTTTCCTATTGAAAGAAAAAGCTTACGTATATACACAGAGACGAATGCGTGCAGTCATGCATGGATGTTGTAGGTTTCTTCAGTGATGTTCATCGATTAATAACAACTGTTTACTTTGTTTTATTCATCTCGTATATTTACTATGATAACTGTATTCTGAACGCATACCCCTTCACGATGCGCTATCTAATTAAATGTCGGTTCCGATATTTGGGACTAGCCTACCTATGCCAGTAGGTGTCTGTTAGAAACAATGCACGTCCGTAGATATCGGTTAGCGATCTACTATAGCTAGATATTCTCGAGTGCCTCTAGTACTTTACACGATCTATAATGGTTTAGTAGTAACAGAAATAGCTGATTGCAACGGATAACCTGTGTTTTTCTTACCAGTGTTTTACTGCCTGGAACGAACGCAAGCAAACTGAACGTGCCTCAGGCCAGGGATCCTTCTTCTGAGCCTGATTTTCCTAGGCCCAGCCTGTCTGCCCCAGTCCATCGAACAGCCGTCTAGCAACAGTGGCTCAATTACTGTTATCGTATCCTCAAATCTATGTATGCCAGCGGCAATGTGCCCCATAAGATGCCGTTCCTGTGGCAAAAGCTAAATGTATAGATGTCGCTTGGCTTCTAGCTATAAACAAGGGGCGAGAACAATGTTTCTAATAGGCCAATTCTGTTCGAAGGATACGATCGCATTGCGGCTGACAGTAGACGAGCACGTAAGTAGATATCGAAAACAGCTAGATATTATGTTGAGGCAACAATTAGCGGCACACATTTAATATGTGTCGATTTTACAGGCTGTAACGGCGTGTACACTTAACTACAAAGGCTTATGCATAGGAGATGTTATAAATGTGACAACAAATGAACTGATCTAAGTGCAGGTTGATTCTACACCGACGCGTCCCCTATATATTCTTGACGTACCAATCAACGTAACGTATGTTGCAACAGACGACATTGTTTCAATGTCCAAATCAAAGCCATTTACTCTGTCAGTTTGCTAGGTCTGTTGAAGACGGCATCCAAAGGTGCCAGTTCAAAAAAAGCGCAAGTGATATCATTAGCGTGTGACTGATACAAACTTCATCCGTGTCTATGACGTGTGCCCGATGCCCGCTTGGTATCTAAGAGAATCCATCAGTTGTCGTTTACCTCGGATCAGTCAGTATAAATAAACAGATACACGTGTTAGATAGATACTTGCTGACAGAACAACACTAAGTTTAGCTGTCAAGTGTTTCATACGATTTTCGTTTGGCCGACGTCATTCAACCAAAGAAAGAAAAATGCCTGGACACTAAACTAGAAGATGACAGTAAGTATGACAACCAGGCCGATAATACGATCATGCAAATGCTGAACGATAGAAATGAAGCTTTGTATGTGTAGAGAGAGATATAATACGATTGTACAGTTGACGGATCAAAATGGAACTATATAGGTAACCAGAGATACAAATATATTCAGCTTATATAAGCGAGTGTTGTTTCATCTGAGACGCATTTAATGTTCATTAACTATATTTTATTGCTATTAAATATAGTATGAATTTCGCTAAATCTGAAAACAACGGCACTACAAATATTTATGAGGATAGCCGGGCTGAATAAAGATACATTGATTGATATTATCCTTACTAGTGTACTTCCTAAAGTTGTCTAATAATCCGTATGATTTCTATTTAACTCGTCTGATCGCGTTGATTGTATTTTTTTGCATAGGGAAGACTGAAATAGACAAAACTATTCAATATAGCCTATTTCGACGTTCCGGGAACACATCTTCGTTTACGCTAGCAACCCAGTATAGCATCCTTTTGGTCCCAGCATTTCCACCTGCTCGAGCAATCTTTGGGGCCTGGAAGCTGAAATTGGGAAGTATTTTCGGCCAGTAGAACATAGCAGCGTCCGGCAGCTTCGGCGCATCGATGACATTCATTTGTCTGCTCAGAACAGAAGGAACAATCTGCTCTTTATCTCCTGGATTTATTGATTGTAGAATTCCGTCGCTTTTCTGCTCATATATATATATATATATAGTCATCAAAATATGGCCGACTGAAACTAGAGGCGAAGTATTATCGAATGATTGTTGATTTGTTATGTCTTCCTTACTGAAATAACAACGATGCTTAAATAAATTAACCATAACTGGAACTCACGTGTCTTATTCTATGTGCACTACTTTCAACCAGCGACTTTTGGGGACAACCAAATCGTGTACGAATCTGTCCTAATTGCGTTCCTTCCGCAGTAGATATAATTTTGTCTCGAATTCAGTGTAGTTGCCGATATTAAATAGTAGCTAAACGAGTACGAAATACTTGTACTATCTTCAGCAGAACTCAATGTGATCGTTCGAGAGAAAGTAGTTTGCAGAGTCAATTTCCTTAGAAAAGGTATTTCCAGAAAGGTTTGACCGACCTCATGCCTCCTAGGTCCCTGGGTACGCCATCGACTGAAGGCAACAAAGCAAAGCTTTTCATTATTTCGCAGTACCTCTTTCGTCCGAACCGAGTAATACGCCGTCATAACATATACGTATGTATAACCTTAAAACTTTTAATCAGTAATAATCCTCGGATTGTTCTTTGCCTTAAAGCAGTAATTCATTGAAAACTAATTAAAGTGGACCAAGATTAATCTTTAAAAAAGAAAATTGATATTGGAAATGTAGCAGGGTGCAGAAACAATGCCGCCGACAGTTTTAGATAGATCCTTCTACCTGCAATATATCGAGTGAAAGGTTAATTTGAAATGGATAGAACTGCGTGGGGGCACAACCCCACAGATAAATTGGATGAAAAGATCCCATAAAAATACTTTGCCCGTTCCTTAGGTATGGCACCAATGGGTTTTATTTTGAATTAAGCAAAGATAAAAAAAAAAGCTAGAGTTAATCACTAAACTAAAGAGAAAGTTAAAAAAATTATGCATACATTTTTTCCCTTCATTTACTTTACGTGAACAAGGCATGTGGACTATAGAAAAGCAGACAGACGAGGTAACATCTCTATATATATATGCATGGCACAGGCCTGTAAAAACTTTAGCGGGAGGTTCGTTTATACCCGCTATATTCTTGAAACCTCACGTCGGCGAATCGTCGCATAGCTTATGATGAGGTCTGTTTGAAACTTTCGGTAAAAAATCTGAATATTTCTAGCAAGACAGGATAAACAAATTTATTGAGAGATGATAGAGATGTTGCACAGCCATTTCGTAATCTCCATTAATTTAAAAATGTTTGTAATTATTGCTGATATAAAAGTACGCCTCACTCGGATATGATCAGTTCATCCTTTGCTTTACGTGTGCCAGCAAAGGTTCTTTTGTCAGAATGTTTTTACCGGTATTCTTTTTTTAGATCGGTTTGTTAGATCAGAAGTCAGTGTCGAGGCTTCCAACCATTAGTTACCGATACCTTTTACTTGCGAAAAACGTGTGACTGCACCATTCTTCGTTTTTTTTTATTTTCCAATATAAATAAACCCTGGAATCTTTTCATTGTAATGACAACTGAACGATGACTCATTGAATGTCTGCGTGTTGAAATTTCCGTTCTAATTAAATTCACAAGACACCTTTGTGTATCTAGGTTGCTTCGCGCTGTTACAGTCGTCATACACTTGCCTACTAAGTTTAGGGAGAGGTGAGGTGATCTAAGTTTGAAATAGGCCGTAGACACACCTCATTCTGCACTGGGAGCAGGCCGTCCTCAGCGGCAATGCCGGACGTATATTTACTTACCTAGCAGAAATAATGTCGTCTGCAATAGGTACTTTGGAATGCAGAAACTTCATTAAAACTCTAATGGAAAAGGAAGAGGTATCCGAAAATTAAAGAAAGCCAAAGCGATCACTTTCCTTGCTGAAAGCAACAGAAAGTAGCGCAATGATAATTCAATTTATATCGGTGGCTGACAGCTCCAGGCTTGTTGCGTACAGATAATGTATGAGAGGCCGTTTCGTTAGAAGAACGCAACCTGAGTTGCAAGCAGAAGGGCGTTTCTCACGTTGGTAGGCCGAAATAAGGATCTGAAGCGTGACCTTAGTAGTTCTTCAACTTCTCGAGCTTGAAGCTCTTGAACTTGACCAAAAGTTCTACACTTGACAGCAAGGCCGCTATCTAATATGGAAAGCAGTGGTAGCCTGTATCCTGGCAGCCTCATGTGTAAAAGATACGGCAATTGCTGCCCGAACATTGCCAGGAAACTCTATTGGGCGCCGGAAGAACGGAGCGAACACAGCAAACTTCAATTTTCGATTAGAAGTTTTTTATTTTTTACAGTATGATGTATCTTAAAGGTGACGTAAGACGTCATAGAAGAGCTCAAGAACCAAAGCTTGCAAAAGGTTACCCCTATACAGAAAAAAACCGACCACACAGTACGTATAACACTGAATAAATCATTCGTTCTCTTGGACTTTCGTGACGTGGCTGCGTGTCTTCCGCAAAGCAGATATACCACCTGTACGTACGACTTCGCCACTTAGTCATCGCGTTTATCTAGATGGAGTACATAAAGGCGGACACTGCTATTCAATAATAGATGATAGAAACTGACTAACGAGCAACACTGATATCTGGCTTAGACCATTGACCATTAGACCCACTGATATTGGTACATTTAGGTCTAACAGTGTGCCCAAAGGGTAAAATGATTTGAACAGCTTGAGGAATAACGACGGCGTTTACTTTTATAAACACGTGGCTTTCTTGTTAACGTATCGTGTACCGTCGGCGAAATACTGTATCTACTCGTCCGTACGCTGGCGCTGCCGCCACGGACGAGACGGTGTATAGATGTACGACAAAGTTTATCTGGAACAAAACGGTAGAAAAGCAGATCCAAATGCATGGGCTGTACGGTAAGCGCGAACTACACAGCAGAAGAAGAAGGCGATGATTTCTATAAGAACGGCGACCATCAAGAAATAGTCTTGAATAGGATGGACAAAAGGCGTTTTTTTTTTGATGAGAATGTCATGCTCCCAACAAACAAGCACTCAGCAATCGTCGACTTGTTGATCACGCCGAAACCAAGGGCAACAACGACGACAGCGGCAGCAGCGGCAGCAACAATAACAACAACGGAGTGACGCTAACGCCTGAAGTGACGGCTATCCACACACACCGGCAGCGGCCGTTACAACAATCACAGCCACAGCGTAACACGGCCAATTCGGCGCGGAGCTAATAAAGCGCCCTTTTTCCAAGTGAAGCTTGTGGGTCATGCAGCTTTGTGAACTATAATGTAGTAAACTAGTAGTTTGATAAAAGGTGCAGATTAAATAACAATTAAATTCGGCACATTGTTTATTTGCCCGGTGTTGTTATACACGGATCCATGATTTCAAGCAGTGAAACGCATATTCACACTGGAGCACAAGTAAGCCCTGGTATTTTCCGCGTTGCTTGGATCGTCCGTTATCCTGTTAACCAGGCCTGTTATCCTGAAGAACTCATCTCAGGCTTATTTTTATACTATTTGCACTAGTTAGCTTCGCTATTAACGAAACCGGTAAGACAGGAGTCACATGTAAGTATTTCTCCTTACCCAATAAAGGAGTTTCTCGTATCAACGCCTACACCCAAAGAGCTAGTCTGTGTTGAGCTAAAACAAGCCCCAATGGTACCTATAATTGATTTGAAATAGCTCGCCATCGTAGCTAGCTCAACGATTTATTCTGAGTGAGCTCTTCGTGTAGATTTCCGGCCTTCAGCTCAGGCGCGTTGACATAGCAGAGCGAGGAATGAAGTTTTACTGTGTGGCGGTGGATATTTAAATTTTTGACGATGTCCTGGCAACTTCATCATTTCATTCCTTAGCTTTTCCTCTAACTGACCGCTACGAAGAGCATTTTTGACCAGAGAATTTTCAGGACGAAAGTTGTAGGAACATTTTTGGGCTCCGATAGCGCACCTGGCGATAAACAGCACAAGTTTTTTTCTTTTTATAGAGATGGCCAACATTCGTGTTTACCTCGTAGTAACGTTGTAAAACATGGAGTATTTCTGCAGAAATTTCATTCATCTCCAAAGTGCTCTATCTTATGTCCGAACGCAGAGATTCCAACAATTTTAATATATCTAACACTGCCGAAATCTCAGCTTAAATGTACTATCACATTATTTTAGCTATGTAACTTTAAAGCCTTCTACCTCATAAAACAGTGAATCTTTTTAATGATTCGCTTTTAGCTGGGCATTTATCTTGCTTGCTAGCCCCCTGCCATGTTAGTTCTGCCATAGCAGCAGTAGCTGCAGCAGCAAACCCTGTTCGTATCGAACTCGAGTTCTGTTAATATAAGCGAGCAAATTGATAAGAACGCCTTATGCGATCCATGAAGTACTACACCTTAAGGGTCAGATGGGCATTTTAAACCAATTATTGAACAGATATTTTTTCTCCTTATTTTAGGTAATTAGTTACAGTATATACGAGTGGTTATACAGTAGTATAATGAGTTTTCTTCAAACAAAAACAAATAACACTTTTTCAATAGGACCTATTTTGACGATGTTTAATAGTCGTTGGCACAGCGACATGAAAAGCAATTTTTACATAAGTAGCACGTTCTTTGTAAGTAAGGCTTAAAATTTAACGCCAAAACAGTTGATGTGCCCATAATAATAAAATGATAATAAAATCCGCAAAAAGATCTTCGATCGCCGTTTAACCTTTGAAGTATAGTCGCCAATTGTTGTAACAGTCCGCAGTAGTCCTCAATAACCTAAAATGACGCCGTGCGTACGGAAACTGGCTAGGTATAGTTGTTTTTCTGTCGATCAATTGATTTCAAGAAAGCGCAATACATTGTTGTTAACGCCACAGTGATGCTATGTATGAGCGATAAATGCTGACACAACAAAGGTCGTATCTGTTTTAGGGCAGGCCCTGAACTAGTTACAGGTCAAGGTATCTACCAATTGACAATTTCATAAAGCAGATGCAGCCGAAGACCGCACTTGCGACATATGTGTTTCACGTCTCCTATATGCGACTGTCTCTAGCAACATTTCACTATAAGGTATTTCATTACCCTTCTTTTTCGTAGTATCAAATTTTAACGTTCCATGTCTCTATCGTCTCCAGTCTAGT